TGTTACCCCTCTCTTTAGCTCTAACATTCGTCCCACACTCTCATACTTACGCTCTCTCTAAATTCTATTTTTATTTCCGGTGTTGTTTTTTCTGTTTTCTTTTTCAATTTGTAGGTCTGATGAATTGGATTGTATTTATGATTCCAATGGAATAAATTATGGCCATGGAATATTAGTGTTTAAGCCTTTTTTTTTATATATATATATATATATATATGGTGGGTGGGGTCAGAGAATAAGATTGTTGGGGTGTATTTTATTTATTTTCATTTTTAATAGATTGTTTGTTCTTTTTCATCTTAGGTAATGTTCCATGGATACTTTTTGATGATCTTAAGTTTTCTGAAATTTTTTGAGTGTTTGGAATCTCTTCTAAATTGCATTTTAAATCTTTGTATACACAAATCAATGGTTATTAACTTTAGGGTTTGATTTCAAGCGATAAGACATTATTACATTTAAAATGATTAAATCATTTTGGGACAGCATGCTCCATTATTATTTCATTCATATTTACTTCAGTATATAAACATGCTCAATAACTATTTCTCTGTATTTCACTAACAGACAAATAACCCAAATGTTGTATTTTGATTCTTATTTGTGTTAGAGTGAATAAAAACGAGTAAAGACCTTTGACTCTGCTAATATAAGCTTACAAATGGAACTTCACCACTTCCATCCAAATGGCACTTGATCCCAAAAGCTTTTATTTATTTATCTTCTATATCTCCGTTTTGGTCACTGGGTAGTCACTTTAAAGGCCTTACTTTTAGACTTCACGGCTTTTTATAAAAACACTAGTCATTTTAAACTTAGATAAAATAACTTAGGACCCATTCGCATTGCGTATGTTCTAATGAAAACTGGGTCCCACTGTGCCACACATAATTTTGTGAGCAGCTTTGTTGTGAGCTTAATTATGAATAATGCCTCAAAACTGGTATGACTGCAATACTTGAATCCTCCATCAGAATATGTAAAACAAATAATAAAACTACTACTATTATTATTTACTATTATTATTATGGTGGAGTTTTAGTCCTTAGATGAGGATCTGAAATTGACTTTTTCAGTAAGTTCAGTAAAAATGAAAATACTTTTGATACACATTAGTGCTTGCTAATAAAATAAGTATCATAGAATCTCTTTAAAAAGACAATAAACAGAGTTAAATGCCATATTATTTTGCTATCACAAGTACAGAAATAATAACCTTCATTCCGGCAGCAGTATCGATAGAACAGAATAATTTTGAAATGCTAAAAAAGTTTTCAAGAATAAAAAGAAAACAAAATCTTAGCAAATTTTCATTGTTTTTTTTTATTGAGTCTTGATTTATTTTTGTTTGTTTTTTTCCAAGAAAGATTTGTCTACAATCTTTACTGGTAGCAGACCTCCTTCCTCGACAGCAGAACACACTTACTTCAATAAACAGTAGAGGGTAAAAGAGTGCAAGTAGCAATTTCTTCAAGACTATCATGACTTAAGGAAAGAAAAAAAGAATAAAGATGAGTTAAAATGAAAATTACCTTGAGTGGCCAAGATTGCTGACAACAAAACAAGAAAGAACGATAAAAATAAATTGAACTGGGCTAATTTCTATGACTGAACAAACTCTAGTGATCAGTTGTCTGAGCAATAGGCTGACAACTGCAAGGTCATCAGTTTAAATTGTAAAGCTCTACAGATGAATTCTGCTCACTGTCACTTGGTCAGCTCTTGAAAACATTTTCATTTTTTTTATGTCTTTAGTGAGAGGCAAGTTATTAGAAGATGTTTCTCTTTGTATGTGTTATATCTCTTCAGGATGTGAGTGACCATAATTCGCCACAGCTTCCTGTCTTTTGTTACTCTCAGCAATACTTTCTCTTTTATGACCGCTTTGGCAGCACTTGATATACCATCCATGTGAACAAGATTCTCAAGAAGGTTATTTCACTGTTTTTCTCTGTTTCTTGTGCTTTGCAAGAGTTAATTTTTTCCTCATTAACAACTGTTTCTTTGCAGTTCATATTCTCCTCAGATGTTCTTCGTTTATAACATGTTTTGTGGATGGTGTTCTTAATATCGGTTGGTGGAACTATATCTTTGGTTTCAAGGTGATTATTTTTTTTTTTTTTTTATTTATGAAAATTTCCAGCTTTCATTTCCATATAAGATGGTAGACAATGGTACAATAGTGTAGCAATCTTTTTTTTTTTTTTTTTTTTACTTCTAATGTTAATTTTCGATCTCTTCATATCTTGATCAATTGTTGGAAACCATCTGATAATTTCTGTCACAAATCCCATCATGTCTATAATTCTATCCAAATAGTTGAATTTTCATTCTAATTTGATTTTACTATACCCGATGTGTAATCAAAGACTACCGTTTCTGATTACCACCATGCATTCCATTATTTTACAATTAATGGTCAGTTTATTCTTCCCAATTTTGTTTCAGTTTTCCTTCTGTCATCAACACAATGCCATCTGTATAAGATATGTTGTTGTGGTTATGTCAGCTTATCATATAATCTGATATGCTATCTGAGATTTATCTCTTCATTTTAAATCTAAGGAGATAACATGTTCTTGTCATACTGTACTTTCTTTTTTGATTTAATCACTTAATACATTGCAAATTCAAATATAAAATCTTTCTTCCAAATTATTCATTGTAGATTATTTGTATATCCTTTCCATGTAGATCAAGCTTTTCTACAGTTTATAAGTGTGCTTTATTGGAATCTTTTGGATGGTATATTTATGGGAGCCATAAATTATGCTATCAGGATGAATGAAAATAGTTTGAATTTCCATTCTTCTATTACATTTCATACCTGTAGAAATGCAAAACTAACCCTTCTGAGAAACTCACATGCCCTCACTCAGTAAATACATCAGTAAACTAGAGGCCAAATTTATTGTCTTAGTTTTAGACTCAGTGTTTGATATTTTTATTACTAGCAAATCCAAGAAATTCCATGGTGAATAACACATTGTGTTCTTATGCATTCAGTCTGACCCATTTAGATATTCTTTGGAAAAAAAAAAACTTGATCCTCCTGGATTTTTGAACTTCAAATAAGTAGTATCAGAATAATTATTTGCTCAAAGGATGTTTCAGAAGAGCTGATGCCTTGAAAGGCATGCCAGAGGAGCTGTTGCCTTGAAATGCATGCTAGAGGGGCTGTTGACTGGAAAGGGGCAACATAGAAGCCGATGCCTTGAAAGGCATGCCAGAGAAACTGATGCCTTGAAAGGTGCACCAGAGAAGCCATTGGCTTGAAAGGTGCACAAGAGGAGCTGTTGCCTGGAAAGGTTCAATATAGAAGCTGATGCTTTGAAAAGCATGCCAGGAAAGTTGTTGCCTTGAAAGACATATGAAATCAGGGGATATTGATATATAATACTAAGACACTGATAGTTTTAGTAGACATAGTTATGTGATTAGTTCAACATATTAGAAGTCAAAATCCATTGTGTCATTTTTGGCTCATGCTTTCTGAGGTTTATTTATTATAATCGATCTTGGATAAGAAAATGTTGAACATAAGTCTTGTGCCAAAATCTAACAAATTAATCTCCTGGAATCACATATCCCATGTTGTATAAAAGCAAATTCTTCAACAATATTGGAATCCTCTTTAGACAAGAAAGTTATAAAACATTTATTATGTTTTCATGATTTATCTGGAATATTGACATGTATGGAGGGCCAGTGGTTAGTAAACGAAAACAAAAAATAGAATGAGCATTGGCAGATTTTATTACTGGCTTTAGGCTTTATTTACATATAGCAAAATACAGTTTTGCTGGAATCTTGGTAAAAGGCATTAACTCAAATTTTACTTCAAACCTATCTTACCCTTTTGAGTACATTATTTGATTGAACTTGTAAAGTGGCAGCAAGAAAGAGAATGACAGAAACAATGAAAGACAAAAAGTAAGAGAGAAAAGCTGAGAAAGAAAGAGGGAGTAAAAAGGGGAGGAAATGAAATTTATAGAGACAGGAACAGGGAAAGAAAACTCTCTCTCTCTCTCTCTATATATATATATATATATATATATATATAGGTAAAAAGGGAAATTGTTAGAAAAGTCTGTAAAAAAAACTTGCTGTATAGAGAAAATGAGATTTGGAAAAATGCCTAATATTTATAATTTATTTTTACAGAGAAATATTAAAATAAAAAAAGTTGGTAAATGTTTATATTTCCACATGTTGATGCTTATACCTTGAACAAATGGAAAAATCAAGTGGCGTAACTGGTTTTATATGTCATTTATGTTTAGGAAAATATGATAGAATCTATTTTGAGGATGTACCTCTGATTTATGCAATGAATTGAGTGTTGGTTTAAACTTGCTGATAAAAAATGTTTCTTCATTAATATGCTTTTGTTTGGTGGATTTGTAGTTGCATTGGTAGAATGGGAAGATATTAAAATTTTTCAGATTTCATCCTCTGCATTTCTCTGTATGTTGGCTCTGGGTATTTTTCTGGTGATCTGGTGATCCCTAATTTATTGGTAATCAGCTATCATCATATGTCAGTGTGTCTGGCTGATTTGGTCAATGCAATATTGGTGGTAACCTTTGCATGTATATCAAAATCTCTGATTCGCACAAGAAATCATTTTTAATTTGCATCCATCTTTGAAATGAAATGCATATTCCACAAAGGGGTCAGTTGCATCTTTTTACCTGAGACTCCTTAATTGTGGTCTGCAGTTTTGCATTTGTTCTTTTTCTGCACTATCTCTCTCTCTCTCTCTCTCTGACACACACACACACACACACACACACACACACATATATATATATATAATGTGTGAGTGTCCTGGGAAAGTTTTTTAATATTTACTCAACTTAGGAACAGCTTCATCTAAAACAAAGGAAATCATTGTTGTTGTTCATTTGATTTAGCTTGGCACATAACTGACTGAATCGGTACCCCCAGAAAAGGCTGCTTGATTATGCTGAGAATATGAATTCAAATCTCACTAGGCTTACAATCATATCATGTTGAAACACTGGTCCTTGTACGGTCACTGAAGTTAAGCAGTAACGAGCTTGGTCAGTACCTAGATGAGTGACCTCTTAAGAATACCAGGTGCTGTAATCTTGAATGTGCATGTGTAATGGATAATGGCTCAGAATTGGAAATTGGAGAGCTGAGTTCCAATTCCAGTCTTGTTTGGTATATTTACTTACATGCAAATAACCTTGGGGAAAACAGGAATCTACTTTCCGCTCAACTATATGTTAATTAGTAGGAGTAAATCATTAACTATAAAAATTCTTATAATCTAAAAATATTTTCAGGTTTTAAATAACCTGCAAAAGATTGATAATCCATAAAAAAATCAATCAAATTTTACTGAGAGCTTACATTTTAATTTCTAATCCTGCATTGTCAAATGAGGATCATAGATTGATGGCCTTAGTAAAAGTTATTATAATAAGCAACTAAAAATGAAAGGGAATCCTGTTATGCATTTTGTGCTTCAAAAAGACTTTTTCAGACTAAATGGTTTTATTGATGGAATAAAATATATAGCAAGGATAGAAAGTGAATACAGCAATCATGTTATAATTCTACATTGAGACAAACACCGAAGATGCAGGTATGTTTAACATTAAATTTTTAATTTCTGGTGTTTTATGTTTCGAAATGTCCAATCTCATTCAGCTTCTGGGCATTTTTTTGTTGTTGATTTTAAATTTTCCACATTGTCATAGCAATAGTTTTGCTAAGAAAGGGGATTGTTTTTATTAGGTAAATAGAGAGGAAAAATACTGGAAACATTTGATCTGCAATTGCTGGCCAAAGAACACATCATTAGGCAACTTAGTGTAGAAGTGTGTTGCAGCAAATTTCACAGGATATGTAGGATCTGCTTTTATAAAAAAAGAAAAAAAAGTATTAAAAAATTGGATTTTACCAAGGCACAAATACGGATTAGTGATAGTAGAAAAAATGCAGTTATCTCAGCCACCAATTACACATTCCAAGAAATAAATCCAAAATATCAAGAAGTTAAACATTTTAAAACATTGGTATTTAATCCTTTTAAAAATTGAAAAATATATGCTTTTGAGACAGTCAAATTTGACCCTGGTAAATATGACCCTGGTAATAACAATCAGTATTGATTTTCTTGCAGTTGTTTTTTTGTGGAAATTTGCCAACAAGTTTTGGCCACTACTTTGTGACTAATTTACAATCTAAAACCCTACGTATGTTTGGAAATCATCCTCATCTTTGTCTAAATCGTGTTTGCATTATAGGAACAAATTGATACTTAAAACTAGTTTATGAAAATAGTCCTCAAATTTAGACCGAGGAAAATGAATATTCAAATAAGGATTTTATTTACATTTCTTTCACCAAATTAATCAACATAGGTAGAGACAAGTGACTTTAAACATCTCAGATATTGTTTCAATCATATTTTTAGTTAAGCATCTTGTTTGTACTTCTTATTTTAAGAAAAACTGGATTACTTTACAAACTGCATATTCGACCAATATTTATTTTTAGTAATTTCGCCCAAGAATCACATTTTTCTTGATTCCTCAATGACTTAAATTTCTACTTGGAAATTATAATTCTTTTTTGACTAAAATATTTCCTATGATCTCTGGTATAATGTTTATCTATCATGTTACTGGTTTCTTTGATACTTAAACATTGAATAGTAAACATTACATAGGATGATTTTGTTACATCATAGAGCAACAGCTTGCAAGATAATGTCACAGTTCAGTCCGTCTTAGATGATTTACATCTTGTGCCATAATAAGAGCAAAATTTAAAATTAAGTGTTGCCATCTTTCTCATTAAAGTACCATGATCCTTCAGGACATGAACGAGGATGTTCTCCATAACCTTGTGTCTTCTGTAACATGAAGTAGTACTTGACTCTTTATTAGCCCTCTTTGATCCCACTTTGTTATCCATCAACACAGTCTCATTACTAGCTGATTCCATCTATCTCTCTTACCTCTTATGTCCTGTGAGTGTTTAATTCTCTAAGTATTCTTTCCTGATTATGGCCCAGAAGTTTCAAATTATTATAATTTTAAGTATAAGTATTCTTTTACTTCCCATTTTCCTTAAAACTTCCTCATTGCTCACATGTTCAGTTCATGGTATTCTCTTTCTGTAGAACAGCATCATTTCAAAACTCTTCAAGATTATCATCCAGCATTCACTTCTATATAGGAAGATAGATATGACTTAGTAGTTCAGCATGCCTTTCTTTGTTTCTAACAAGATGTTTCTACATACTTTATAGTGAATTTTCCTATATACTGTTCCTTAATACTTTGTTTAGATTCTGGTAGGCATCTTTCTCTGTTCTAATGCATTGTTAAATTTGTCACATTTTCCATCATCTGTTACTATATGTTATAAACCGTATCTATGAACTCTAATGTTTATGTCCCACTCCTCATAAATACATTGGAGGCTATTGTAAGTGGGGTGGGGATAATATGCTGTCTAAGTAGTCCACCATTAGCAGTGGTTTACTTACTTCATGCCACTGGCAAGTATTGTATTTTGATGATGTTATAAAGATTACCATATCATTTCCAACCTTTGTTATGGGTATTCCTCATTCAGTAACACTCTCTAGGTTAGAACACATAAATTTCATAGTATTTAATAGAAATGATCTTCCAGAAAAGTTTGCATACTGTTATATACTGTACATATGAACACTAATAGGTATGTTCCCATCCTTATAAATATGTTAGACACTATTGTAAGTGGGGGGGGGTAATATGCTGTCTAAGTCATCCACCACTAGCAGTGGTTTACCTACTTCACGCTGCTGGTGAGTATTGTATTTTGTTTATCTTATAAAGATTAGAATTTCATTTGCCAACCTCCATTTTAGTTATTCCTCATTTATTTGTAGTATAGTGTTGTAACCTAGAAAAGGTTACAACACTATACTACCCAGATAATTCAATTTCCATACTTGCAGTACTTCTTCTGTATTTCATGTTGTTGACCATATATTCTACCTTAGAGTTAATAGTGTGTGCTTTCTTATTTGCTTTTCTTGAATAACTTGTCTTGGACTTCATGTAGTTTCTTTCTGAGTCAGCCATCAACAATGTGTCATCCATCTATCTTATATTGCTATGTCTAATAATAATAAATCCTGATAATACTTCTAGTTCTCTTCAGATCATTTTGCTCTAAAGGTTAAATAAATCCCACAAGAAAAGGCATCCTTATCTAATACCAATTTCTGTCTTTGTGTACTTGGTAAACTCATTTCTGATCCATGTGAAAGAAGTTTGTTCTTAGTAAATGTTAGGGATTAGTCAAATATCTTTCCGATATACATCAAGTTTGCCTAGAAAGGATTTTGCGTCTTATCTTATCAAAGACTTTGGCGTTGTCTATGAAATAGCAGTAAAGTTTGTTTTGCATTTGTATTGTTCACTCAGATAAAATTATTAGAAATATAGGAATTCTTGTTTCAGAGTCTTGAACAAAGCCACTCTTTTACTTCCCTATTCTGTGTCTAATTCTGATAGAGACTCAATTCCTTTTTCTTCTATGTGCCATGTGCCTTCAGGGTATAGGTGAGTATGGCTCTCCACAATTTCCTGTCCTTTGTAGATCTTAATAAATTGTCTTTTATCTTTTCTAACCCCTGTAACCATTTATACAAGAGTGTTAGGTAGGTTATATGCTGCTTTCTTCTGAACACCTTACCTTCAATATATCCTGTGAGCATTAAATTTCCAAGCCCTCTTTCCTCATTATCTACCCTAGAAATTTCAGCTATCTTTTACTGATGCTAAGTATAAATTGATTTTTTTTTTCCTTTTATATAAAACTTCACTGTTGCTCACATATTCAGTCTGTTATTCTCCAAGAGAAATGAGGGAATATGACAAAGAAAAGAAATGAAGGAAAAATAAATCATGAATCTCTCTCTCTCTCTCTCTCTCTCTCTCTATATATATATATATATATATATAGGGAAGTTAGAAAATTCTGTACAAAAACTTGCTGTATAAAAAAAATTAGATATGGAAAAGCACCTAATACATGTATTTTTTGCAGGGAAATAGTAAAATTAAAGTTGTTTTATTTGTGGGCTTTCAGAAAAAATAGATTTATTTTAACCAGTTTTGCATTTAGCTTTTCAAAAAGTTATTAAATGTTTCTATTCCCAAGTGTTGATGCTTATACCTTGAACAAATGAAAAAAATCAAGGGGCATAACTGGTTTTAGATGTCACTTATAGTAAGGAAAATATGATAGAATCTATTTTGAGAAATGTGCCTTTGGTTTATGCAATGAATTTAGTATTGGTTTAAACTTACTGATAAAAAATGTATTTATTAATAAGCTTTTATAGTCACATTGGTAGAATGGGAAGATATTAAAATTCAGCAGATTTCATCCTCAGCATTCCTCTATATTTTGGCTGAGAGACATTTATCTTTAATATATTCTGTACCAAATTTCTAAGTCCTCTTTTCTCATTATGTGCTCTAGAAATATCAACTATCTTTTTCTGATTCTAAGTGCAACTGCCCTTTTTATTTCCATTTTCTTCAAAACTTCATAATTAGTCACATGTTGAATCCATGGTATTCTCAGCATCCTTCTGGGTCACCACATTTTTGTCATCTTGAGTGCCTTCTCCATCTGCGTGGAGATTGTTCAGCATACATTGCCATGTGTGTGGGCTGATATTACATAACAGTTCAGCACTCTTTTTTTTTTTGTTTCTAATGAAATTTTCCTTCAGCACACCTTCAGGTTTTGATATCACATTTCCTGTACGGGGGGTTAATTTTGGCATCTCCAAATTGTAAATGGCATGTTGGCCTGTTCCTTTTGCTCACAACCATACATTCTGTCTTCTTACAGTTGATGTTTAGTCCTTTCTTCTGACTTTCCCTTGCTATCTTTCATAGGAGTAGTTTCCTTTCTCTTCCTGCTATCAACACTGTGTCATCTGCATATCTTATGTTAAGAGTGTGGCCACCAATAATGAATCCAGGAAGTAATTCTCTTAGAATCACTTCACTGGTAAGTTTAGATATCAATCATCAAATTTAGAATTTGTGATTTATATAAATG